CAGTCGGACATCCCTCTCGCATTCTAGAACTGCTGGCTCCTAACCACTTACCTGCCTGCCTGCCTGATCACCCCTAACCACTCTACCTGCTGTCCTGCTCGCCCCCAAATGCCCCTCCCCTTGCTGGCCTGCTTGTCCCCAACTGCCCCCTCCTGCTGGCCTGCTCACCCCCAACTGACCCCCCCCCACCAGCCTGCTCGCCCCAAACTGCCCCCTCCTGCTGGTGTGCTTGCCCCCAACTGTCCCCCCTGCCAGCCTGATTACCTCAACTGTCCTCCACTGCTGGCCTGCTTGCCCTCAACTGCCCCCCCCCTTGCCAGCCTGTTTGCCCCCAACTGACCCCCACCTCCAGCCTGATCACCTCCAACTTCCCTCCCCTCCTGGCCTGATCACCCCTAACTGCCTCTGCCTCACCACCATGGCTTTGTCCGGAAGGACATCCAGAAGGTCTCCCAGTCTAATTAGCATATTACCCTTTTATTAATATAGATAGCTGTAAACTTGCCATTTACTGGAGCATTTTTCAATCTGTTGTGATGTTGTTTTCTGGCAATTGTCGTTAGTTTGGCTCAAATAAATTCTCATAAGGCATTTTCCTAGGCTGGGCATTCTTTTGTAGACAGAAGCAAAAAGAGAGCCAACAGGACCATTATATTAAGATAAGGTTAATTTTGGGAGCCCTGAATGCAGGACACTTGGCTTACTGCCTTGGTCTTTGCTTTCAGACAAACTTGACAGGGTCTGGCTTTGCAGGGCCTGCCTCCATCACCAAAAGTCGAGGGAGGTGAGACAGAGAACCAAGCCCCTGGGACCCAGACTCTGGCCTTCTTTGTTCTTCTCTTGCTCTCTCTATGGGTTCATCAAGCTGAAAGAGACCGAGATTCGATTCCCAACTTCGAGGATGAAGAAAGTGAATGGAGTGTGGTTGAGTGACTTGTCCCAGAGGCAAACTCAAGTCTCAGGGCTCCTCCCAGAGCTACCTGTGCTGGCCGAGGACAGGCTGCCCTGGGCCTCCTCCCACCTTTACTTACATACACGATCACAGGACTTCAGGAACTTTGTTTGCAGGAGCCGGGTTTGGGGGCTTTTGGAGGGTGGGTGGTTGTTGGTATTTTTTCCTGCTTACTAATTTCCATTTGCTACCTTTGTCCTATGGCCGCCTTCCATTTAGGGCTCTGGCATCTGATCTGGATCAGCCTCCTGGGGCCTCCCTGCCCCAGCAGTGCCGCTCCTCCTTGGAGGAGGGGGGGCGGTTTGCAGTGCAAACACAGGTGGGATAAGATGCAAAATGAACAAGACCACAATGGTCAGAAGGAACCTTTCACTAGTGGGTGAGGGGTACAGGGAGAAAAGGGGACACTGCGTGGGCACAGACAGCAAACACATGACAGATGGAGCAGTAAGCCAGTCTCCGCAGGCTGCCTGGCCCCTTCCACCCGGACAAGGGAGCAGCGAAGCTGCCCAGGTCTCTCTTCAAGATGTCTCACCAGGGATGCAACATGCACTTACATGGGCCGCTCCGCTTCCTCTGGCAGGAAGGTGGCCAGAGAGGCACCGTGGGGTTTTCTGGGTAGTGAACGCTCAGGTGGCCGCTGGCCTCTGCCCCACGCTTCCCAGGGGACTCCCCAACCCCTTCTGCCTTCCAAGGAAAACACTCCTTCCCAGAGGCGCAGCTTGCTGAGCTCCGAGTGGGCTCTGCTAAGTGAGGTGCGGAAAAGGACTAGATGTGGGGCTTGGCACACGTGGTGTGCACCGTGCCATCTGCAGCGCTGCCTCTGAAAACATTTTCCAGTGAGAACTTAGATAATGTTTTCCAGGAGTGCGGGAGGCCATCTGCTTCCTCCTACAGACCCCGGGTGCAAGGGACCTCCGCGGATGGAGAGCTTGGTCGGCCTCCTGTCGAGTTTCTGCAGCCCATCTCCTCGCCACACTGCGGCGGAGGACGGTGCTCGTGCGTGGCTGAGGAGAGGACAGAACTGGGTGGGAATCGGCACTGTGCGTGGGGGGCCCGGGAGTGTCAGCTGCAGTCTCCCCGCGGGGAAGGGGCCAGTCAGGAGGCCTCGCGCGGATGCGCGCCCCGCCTGGCCTCGTGCTCCTGCTCCGTGCGGACCCCGCGCCTTCCCCGGGGCCCTGCACACTTCCCACTGTCCAGGTCCTGGCGTCGCGCCACCTGCGGCTCGGGCTGGGCGCGCTCCAGGCGCATTCCTGGCCGGGCGGCCCCTCCTCCTTCCCCGCCTGGCGGCCGGCGCTTCCCTCCCGCGCCCCCACCGCTGGACCACGGACGCTGGTGGCCGCAGGCGCCCCAGGCGGCGCGCACCGGTTTAACTGCGCTCCCCTCTGTTCCCCTCCCAGGCGGCCGGCCGCGTTTCCACCTCCCGGACCCTGTGGGCTGGACGCACTGGGCATTGGCTGGATACGCTCAGCACCGGCGGGACGCACTCGGCAGCAGCCGGACAGCGTCGTTCCCTCCCAGGCAGAGCGGTCCCAGCCGGCGAGATGCGACTCCCTGGCCCCCGCGAGCTCCTCCTCCTGCTGCTGCTCGTCGCCGGCCCGGCGCAGCTTGGCGCCCAGGTCAGTGTCCCCCGCCTCCAGGCCGGTGCGCGGACCTGGGCCGCCTCCCTGGAGGCGCGGGCGGGGGGCTTGGAGCGACCGGGGGCTGAACTGCGTTTCAGGGACAAGCGCCAGACCCACCCGTCCTCCCGCTGGTCACCGCGCAGCCCCTCGTCCCGGCCCTGGGGGTTCCGCTGGGGTCGGGGTACGGGAAGGTCTTCCTGGGTTATGAAAAGGTGGTCTCCACTGGGTCCCCAGGAGCAGGGCCGGGTACCAGCTGGGTCAGAGTCCCCGCCCCCCCCCACTTCCCATCTCAGTCTGAATTGCCCATTGCGCGCCCATTGCCGCTGACTTTCCCACGCGCCCGGGCTCCCGATTCACTTTCCCTCCTTGTTTGTATGCGATAGCGTCTCGCTGGGTTTATTTATTGGGCCAGACTCACTTTTATATAAAGCAGTAATGGTAAGATAAGAATGCGCACACTGGAGAGGGAACTTAAGGTAAGAATGCACACAATGCAATAAACAGCAGATGATCATAGAAGTGTACACCTAAAACTCATATAATGTTAACCAGGTCACCCCAATAAATTTAATTAACCGATGCCACCCAATACATTTAATTTTTTAAAAAAGCTCATTCTTGTCAGCACATCTGTCCAGATAAAAATGCACCTTCCGGCCCTAGCTGGTATTGCTCAGTGGATAGAGCGTCGGCCTGCAGACTGAAGGGTCCTGGGTTCAATGGGTTCCATCCCCAATGCAGAAGGTGGCTGAAGGGTCTGCAGCAGGACCTCGTGGGGATGGATCAATGACTCTCTCTTATCACTGATGTTTCTATCTCTGTCTTTCTCTTTGAAATATATATATATTTAAAT